GAGCAAACAGGAGCCCTTGGCACGGCCCCCGGTGAATCCCCACCAAGAAAAACCCCGCTGGGTGCCAGGATGCGGCCGGAGCCGCACAGGGCGGTGATGCTGGGGGGGGGAAAATGCACCCCCGTCCTCCCTCTGCCCTCCCCATCCTCCCACCCCATCTCCCTCTGTCCTCTCCATCTCCCTCTGTCCCCTCCATCCTCTTTCTCCATCTCCCTCTGCCCTCCCCATCCTCCCTCTGCCCTCTCCATCTCTCTCTGACCTCCCCATCCTCCCTCTCCATCTCCCTCTGTCCTCTCCATCTCCCTCTGTCCCCTCCATCCTCTTTCTCCATCTCCCTCTGCCCTCCCCATCCTCCCTCTGCCCTCTCCATCTCTCTCTGACCTCCCCATCCTCCCTCTCCATCTCCCTCTGTCCTCTCCATCTCCCTCTGTCCCCTCCATCCTCTTTCTCCATCTCCCTCTGCCCTCCCCATCCTCCCTCTGCCCTCTCCATCTCTCTCTGACCTCCCCATCCTCCCTCTCCATCTCCCTCTGTCCTCTCCATCTCCCTCTGTCCCCTCCATCCTCTTTCTCCATCTCCCTCTGCCCTCCCCATCCTCCCTCTGCCCTCTCCATCTCTCTCTGACCTCCCCATCCTCCCTCTCCATCTCCCTCTGTCCTCTCCATACTCCATCTGTCTTCTCCCTCTGCCCTCCCCATCTCCCTCTGTCCTCTCCATCCTCCCTCCCCATCTCCCTCTGCCTTCTCCATCCACCCTCCTCATCTTCCTCTGCCCTCTCCATACTCCCTCTGTCTTCTCCATCCTCCCTCCCCATCCTCCTTCTGCCATCCCCATCCTCCCCCTGCCCTCTCCATCTCCCTCTTCCCTCTGCATCCTCCCTCCCCATCTCCCTCTGCCTTCTCCATCCTCCCTCCCCATCCTCCTTCTGCCCTCCCCATCTCCCTCTGCCCTCTCCATCTCCACCACCCCAGAGCATCCTCCACCGAGTCACCAGCCTCAGTTCCTGGGTCCCCCCCTCCTTGACCCCATGTCGTTTTTTTTGCCCTCTCAGGGTGGGACGCGGAGGCTGGGGGCAGCGGTGGGATCAGCCCCGACGTCCTGGTGTCCCTCTCTGCCCCCAAGGAGTGCGCCCGACGCTTCCTGGGCCGCCAGCACTTCGTGGCCGGGCGCTTCCTCCCCTACGACGTGCAGAAGAAGTTTGAGCTCAACCCCCCCGAGTACCCCGGCACCGAGTGCGTGGTGGCCCTGCGAGCCCCCCAGCAATAAAGCACGTGGTGGTGGCTCTTCCCTGGGGGTCGGTGTCTGCCTGGGGACACGGGGCGAGGGGACGGTGGCCTCCTTGCAGGGTTGGGGCTGGGGGTTGTGCCAGGGCTCACAGAGTCCCATGGGGTTGGAAGGGACCTCTGGAGATCATCTCCTCCAACCCCCTGCCAGAGCAGGTCCACCCAGAGCAGGTCCCACAGGAACGTGTCCAGGCAGGGTTTGAATGTCTCCAGAGAAGGAGACTCCACCACCTCCCTGGGCAGCCTCTGCCAGGGCTCTGCCACCCTCAAAGTGAAGAAGTTCCTCCTCATGTTGAGGTGGAACTTTTTATGGTCAAGTTTGTTTGTATTGTGGCTCGTTTCCACGCCCCGTGTCCCCTGGGACCTGTCACCCACCTGCTTTTGGGGACAGAGCTGGTGTGTCACCTCCTCAACAGCCCGTCCCATGGGGATGGGGCAGCCCTTGGGGTCCCTGTGAGGCCGCGGGGTCCCCGGTGCTGCCGCTCCCCCCGTACCCTGAAACCCTTGAACCCGGGGAAGGGTCCGGGGAGGAAAACGGGGTCTTTAATTAACAGGGAGAGCAGTGATGAGCCACAGCTGGGGACTGTCCCCACCTGTCCCAGCAGAGAGGGTGTTGCTGACCCTGTGGCAGCACAGGGAGCTGCAATCCCCCCCTCCCCACCCCCCCAGCCCCGGGGGGAGCTCGGTGCAGCCGGACCTGGGGAGGGGTCTCGGGAGGAAAACGGGGTCTTTAATTAACAGGGAGAGCAGTGACGAGCCACAGCTGGGGACTGTCCCCACCTGTCCCAGCGGAGAGGGTGTTGCTGACCCCGTGGCAGCTGCAACCCCCCCTTCCCTGTCCCCCCAGCCCCAGGGGGAGCTCGGTGCAGCCGGAGTTTTGGGGAATGCAGGGAATGCGCCGGGATTTCCGCCGGCCGCGCCATGGGAGGGGGCTGCGGCCCCCACCCCTGGGGAGCTGCCCTTTGGGGGTGACCCCGGAGAAGGGGGTGTCTTCACCCCATCACACCCCCCCCCAAACCATCACACGCCAGCGCCGAGGGGTTTCTTTGCTTCCTCCAGCCCCGGGAGGGGGTTGGGGGGGGCAATTGGGGCCACGCGTGCACTGAGTTCTGCCCGGCCTCAGCTCCAGCTCAATGTGGGGACACGAGTGGCTCCGGGACACCCACGTGGGCCAGGTCACGGCGCGGGCACCCCCCATCCCCACCATCCAGCCGTGCCCCATGGCCACCAGTGCCAGGGGAGGGCTGGCACCCTGACCCTAAACCGCAGGAGCGCCGAGGCTGGGGCTCG